TTATTATTATTATTATTATTATTACGAGCGGCTGTGTGGTACTCAGTTGCCGACTGAGGTTAAACCACAACAATCTCTCACCACGCGTGATATAAGGAGCTTAAATTCATAGTTCAGGATTCTGGAGCAGGTGTCTAAACATTTAATGCTCAGAGTAACAGTCCATGGGTTCCTTTCCAGATCTAGCACTAAATACTCACTCTCTGCTATACTCAAATACTATGTACTTGTGTCTTCCGTTGCTATTTGTAGGTGTAGCAGTGATAGCTGTACTACAGAGAACTCTCCACTACGACTGCATTGTCCTAGTGAAACAGTTCAGGCCCCCAATTAACAGCTATTGCTTGGAGTTTCCTGCAGGTAAGTGACTGAAACATTAAGATGAGTTACATAAAGCTGACAGTTAAGTGTGTTTAAATGTGCTTGCAGCGTCAATCTTAATGAAGTAGCTCTAACCAGAAAATCATGGTGAGCTCTGTAGCTCAGTGTGCTATTCAAAAATAGGAATATTTGATAATGAAGAATACAAAATAAACATCGTTCATTTTAGCAGATTGGAGGCATTTTGCACGGTAGCCTGTTAGTAGAATATTGCATTTCCCTCCATTCCTCCTTTCTGTAAGAGCTGAAGCATTTGGCTTCTTTCCCTCATGAGAATACTAATGCCATTTCCTGGGAAGGTAGCATGCTCCTGTAGATAATCAGTTGGAAGACATGGGCAGCAGCATGATGAATCCTGGAACTGGCATCCTTCCTAACGCCTCAGTTTATCCCTCTGTAAAAATAGGGTAGTGACAGTGTTTCACCTCATTTGTAAAGCTGGATTAGATCTTGGGATGCGTACTGCGGTTAAGTGCTAACTTTTAAATTGTTCTTGTGTATTACTTATCTCACAGGCCTCATCGAGGAAAATGAGACTGCAGAAAGCGCTGCATTGCGAGAGTTGGAGGAAGAAACTGGGTACAAGGGGGAAGTCGTTGAATGTACTCCAGGTCTTCGCTTTTTTTCATTTTTCCAAAGCTAATTCTGTCTGTGATGGGTACTCTGAATGTCTAAAATGCTCTAAACCAGAGGAAAAATCTACGCAGAAGTGTCTATGCAGATTAGCAGAGTAGTATCCCATGCCTGTACCAATGAGACTTTGGTCCTTTATGAGTCAGTTGCTGAACTCCTGTTAAACACACAGGACTAAAGTAACAGTCTGATGTCTGTACTTTGCTATTAAGATCCTTTACGCAAAACCCAATTATTCAAGCTGGGATTTGGCATGTTAGTATAAAGGTCTAAACTGCTGGACTTAATGTGAAGAACATCTGTGAACTTAGGTAGAAAAAACAGCTGCATGATGCAGTCCGAGTGGAGGTCACCCTCACGTCAGCTGCGGGGAGGTGACAGTACTCAGGTTCTCCAACCGGAAAGAAGAAAGGAGGGAATAACAGGAGTAAAGCCAGAGATCCTTTGGAACGTGATTGCTGCCAATCCAATGCTTCCTACATAAAACAAAACGAAGGCAAAAGGAGGGTCGTAAACAAAACCTGAGAAGGTAGGCAGAAAGGTCAGGCAACTTGCATATGATTTCGAGTAAATGTCATTATAGTTGAGACTTGGCTCTTGATTATCCGGTACGACTGCACGCTGGGGACTGAGAGAGATGGAGACGGGCGATGGCAAACTTAGACTCTAATAGGCTGAGGAAGTCTGTAAGGGAACTATAGTTTACAGTTTAATCTTCAGTCTATGGAATGGAAAGGAAACCTAGGTGCTGAAAACAAGTCTTGCAAGGAATCTGTGAGAGCTGAGAGTTAGAAACATTACTCTTAAGAACATGTGAAAACAAAACTTTTCACAACTCTTCCAGCATGAACTTCTGCCAAATATGTGTTCTCCTATTGTATCAGATATATTTGTGCGAAAGCTTTTGTTAAAATGTCAAGGTGCCTTTTGAAAAATTAACCTCTACATGTGCTTGTTGGCAGCTCTCTGCTTGGACCCAGGTTTGTCAAACAGCACAACACACATTGTGAGCGTCACCATTAACGGAGATGAGGCTGAGAATACGAGACCTAAACAAAAACTTGGTGAGTTTTGTACCGTTCATTCGAAAATTCTGAGAAGACAACAAAACAAACAATGGGTTGAAAAGAACTACCCCTACCACTGCATCTCTTCTGTCCTAGCTGATTTAGATGCTGTGCGTCCTTCAAATCATATCCTGCAGTCTAGACAAGCAGAGCCGTATTTCTCTGCTAAACTCACTGGGGAGGTCTAGATGTTAAGTGTTGGGTGTTGGCACGCCCGGAATGAGACATTTAGGTGCCAAACTTCAGTGAGAGCCATAAGCACTTGTGAACTTAGATATTCCTCTTAGCTGTGGCTTGACGTTGGAAGAAAGTACGGAGTCACTCATAATCAGTCAGCTATCGAAATGCTTTTTAGTTGTACACTCAAGTGTATTTCAAAATCCTTAACTTACTACGTTGTTTTTTTTTTTTACTTGCAGATGACGGAGGTACGTTACGTAGCTGTGCTCACAGTGACAGTAAGGTCAAGTGTGATGTTCGTATGGCAAGTTTTACTTAGAAAATGTCAGTTAAAACTGTTTTTCATTTGGGCTTGGTTAATCTCCTGATCCTGAGCAAGCATGCATGAGATCGGCTTTGGCCTAGACACGAAAATTCCTGTGGGGCGTTATTGCATCGATTACCTTCAAGTATTGCACCTATAGCACCAGTATCTCAGGAAACACAAACTGCTGAATCCACAACAGCTGTAGATCAAGCCCCAAAGACAACCAATTCAGATAGACAGGGGAGAGTTAAGTCAACACAAATTCATCAAGAACAAACCCTTTCTCCCTCTGCTGTTTTGGTCTGCAAATGCATCTACAGTCCATCACTGTACCAGTGTCTGCCAACCCCATCCCACCCCCAACAGTACACTGTCCATTCTCAGAAGGGAGCAGGTCTCCTTTTAGAAGGATTCTTACCCTCTGTAGCTGTCAGCTACGCTGTGTTTTTCCCAGCTCTTTCCCAGTTTCTTTCTGCCAAACCTGGTTTTTAATGACCCCAGTCATTAACTGATGGGGGTCATAATGCCTTCCCCCATTTAACTGGCCTTTTTGTGATATAGGAAGGCTCACAGCTTTTGGATGGTGATGAGCATTAAGCCAGTTTGTTTCCCCTTTCAAGCTGTAAGAAACAGGACCCTGAGGTAGGCCTCCTCTACTGTTCACTAAATTAAAGGCACATAAATTTTTTTCTTCTCTCCTAGAATTTGTGGAAGTCATTTCACTTCCAAAGAACGACCTACTGCAAAGAATTGACGGTAAGAGCTTTCTGACACATTCAGAGCACTAACGTGAGCTTCAGGAAACCCTTAGCTTCTCCTCTCATAGCCCCTCATTGCATTTCTTGTCCTAGAATACCGTATCTTAAACAAAAAGTTGGGAGAGACTTGGCCAGGTGACAGAGTTAGTGGTAGCGGTAGGTCTTGGCATTAAGTCTTCATGTCTGGAATGCTACACGTCTTCATTTCAGTAAAGGACTTAAATTTCTGCAGAGGAGAAGTTTTAACAGCAGCATCTCATAATTTTTTGTTTGTTTCTTTCTTTTCAGAACTAGTAGCAGAAGAACATATTGCAGTGGATGCCAGGGTTTACACTTACGCATTGGCCCTGAAGCGTGCAGCAGAGAAACCGCTCCAAGTTCCTTTTATGAAGTTCTAAAACTAGATGATGAGAAATTTAGTTGAAAACTGCCCAATTCAGATGGCTTAGAAGTATAACTCTTCTTGTATCAAAGATCCTTTGCTTTACTTGTAGAGCAAAACCAGTATTTGTAGGAATGATTCTGATATTTTCATCTGGAATTATGTAACTGACAAAAAGCATTTCTTCTAACTGCTCAGTCTATCAAGCCTTGACAGAATAATCCTAATAAAAATGCCGTTTAATTTTCAGAATGGCTTGTTTCTCACTGTATTCATCATTGCACTTACGTTTCCGCATAAGGAAGATGCGTAAGTAACTGTAGTTGATGGTGTAACACCGTCTGTTGAAGACGAGGAAGACAGCAGGAAGAGCGCGCTTCCCTCTCGTCCGCAGGCAGCAGCCTTTGAACAACTGTAGGTAGTTTTCTGCAATAGAAGCAGCAGCAACAGCTACCCGGGGACACAGCACGCGTGCTCTGGCTGCGGTGTTTGAAACTGCAGTTTCTGGAACTTCCTTTTATGGTTTAGACCTGAAGGTGTTGCTTCCTTCTCCCAGGAAAGAGAAAATTGATTTGTTTGACCTAAGAAAATACAGACTCCGACAGCGATGACGATGGTAACAACACAACGTCCACTAGTGCAAACCAGAACGGTGCAGGACCCAGGCGGGGGATTCCGTTTATGGTACGGGCTTACCTACATGCTCCGAGACAGCGCAGCCCTGCAGTTCTCCCTCTCCCTGGGAGGCATCCGTGTACCCAGGCCGCACCTTAGTTCTGTCTAATCACTTCTAGGTAAATCTTCCGCCAAACCACCCTTCAGTGTACCTGTGCACCGTCGACTGCTTCTAATTAGGTAAACCACCACCACTGCTTAAAGGTTAGGATCTAGGAGTTGTAATGAACATATGCGAATATCAAAGTCTTGCCCCTGAAATAAATTTGGATGAGCACGCATAATTAGGAAGACTTACCTCACTTAGAAATGAAGCAGAAAACTTGCTTTTCTTACCTTCACAAAAAACACAAAGTTACTTTCAAGTTAAGCATGAGAGAAGACCAAAGAGATCAAAATGTGACATCAAAGGGAAAGTCACTGATTACAGCTGAGCGGCAAAGCTCAATGATTTTAAGGGGAGGAATCCAGAGAGTTGTTTTTTAATTAAGGCTGCTAAAAACTGATCAGAATTATATTCTAGAAAGGATAAAGATAAAAAAAGGAGCCTTCCAGACCTACCTCACTAGCAAAGCATGTTAGAAATAATAAAAAACCGCCTGTGAATCACATCTTGCACAGATAAGACGCAGGAGAGAGCTTAATTAAATAAGTTTATTGTCTAACGTTTACAGTTGTTACATCGCCACTGTAAAGTGCGACAACATAAATAAGTTCTCAGC